CCCACCCTGAAATTGTCATGACCCTGACCTTAATGACCTTTGACCTGCGACCTACTTTTCGAGACCATGTTTGGCCGGAATCGCGATTCGGCGTATGTCGGCTCGCATTAGCGGCGCGTTTGCAGTCTTTTCGTGGTTTTAAGCGTTCAAACATGGGATATGATCTTGCTTCCATGCATAAGGGTGGGTGTCAAGGTCACCGGAAAGTCAGGTCAGGTCATTGACCTTTGATGACCTCGGTTCACTTTTTCGAGTTTTACATGTTTCTAGGCCAGTTTTAGGAGCTTAATTCGAATTTAGCAGCCATATGAACATTTACGAAGTAGTTTTGGTGCCCTCGTAACATGTTGCGAAGCTGTCAGAGGCGGTTGCCACCTACTACGAATACCCTTACTGGTTGACCTGACCTGACCTGACCCGACCTGGCCTAAATGCATGAAGACATCATCTGCGATCAAAACTAACATGATATTCGTGATCAGCACCCCGAAAACCCCATAGCAGCCACGCTTTACGACTTTCTAACAGGTCCCGATTTCCCCGACTTTTGGGTCATTGAACTGACCTGGAAAGTCAACCGATGACCTAGAACCTTAAAATTGGGTATCATCGACTTCCTCTCGTCACGGCCAACACGCTCGTTTTTTTCCGCGAAGCTCTAGCTCGATCAGGGGCGAAACGGCAAGGGGGGGGGGGTCCAACGGACCCTTATACGTTTGAGGCTGGAAAAACACCAATACGGGCGAGAGTTAAGGTGTTAACCTCGGGTCAAGGTCAGGTCACAGCCCGTCAGGTCACGAAGCTGGTCAAAGGAGGTCATATTGCATATCAATCGATTCGGCAGGTCTTTTCATGTCCATTAGTGGCTTTATCGACTCGGTAGCTTTAGTTGATCGGGAGTTATTGACGAAAAACTGATAGCCTTAGTTACGTGATAAATGACGTCACGCAAGATCAACAAAGCAAAATTGAAGCATCAGACCTTGCAAGCAGCGCATGAAATTACGATTCCGTGTGCTTGAGAATTTGAGATAGTTGTATATCATTTCCGGACGGACCAAACTAGCAATTTCCATATTCCCCTGACTTTTAATGGTGAGAGACTGACCTGATCTCAGGCGACCCTTCAGAAAATCCTAGATATACATTTATACAAGTTGTGAGACCTCTCGATCATACTATAAGATCCTGTAAGTTTCATCTCCCTATGAAAGCTCTGCACTGAGGGTGTTGCGAAGTTGGAACATTTTAGCACAGTCCTAAAATGTTCATTTTAGGACAGTTTAGGACAGTTTCACACAGTTCATTTTAGGACTGCTCATTTATGACGTCATAGATCAGTGACCTGACTTGACTTAAAAATGCGGTTGGCGTAAAAAATCCGACTTATCAAATCCCGACTAAAAAAAAAATCGACTTATAATCCGGTTAATCAAATCCCGACCATGTTTTTACCTGGCCATTAACCCGCGCCCTGGTGGGGGGGGGGGCTATTTTTTGCCCCCCCTCCAGACTTTTCGATATATCTCCAGAACCGCTGCGCCGATCGTCACCAAACTTTCAGTACCCTCCCGGACATCAATTTTACACATGGTGACCAAAATTTTTTCCAAAGGCTATGATAGGTTGGCCGAAAATGACGTCAGAGTGACGTCATGTTCTGCCGTTTTCGACCCAAAAAAGGGTTCCGCGGGAAGAGCTGTCAGGCCTATAGCTTTGCAAATACAGAAAAATGATAAGGACATAAAAGCTGTAGAATTAACAGGGCTACAAAACTGCTATCTCGGATTTTTGAAATTTTTGGATTTTGACCCCCAAAAATCAAAAAAATAGATTTTTGGGATATAATAGTCAAAAAATCCAAAAAGTTTTTTGAATTTCGCAAAAATCGGAATATATGTGATAGTCCTTACCGCCTTCCATCCACATACCAAATTTTAGATTGATACCTCTTTTTTTGGCGAAGTTATAGCGAAAAAACTGTTCAAAATTGATGACGTCAAAATTTTCAAACTCAATTTTTAGCAATTCTAGACCTCGTAGTGCAAAACAAAGACCACCATTAGACTCCCCGTGACGAGCTGCATCGAATTGATACCAATTTAATGCAAAAATATCAACTTTAAAATTTGACCTTTTTTGACCTGACCTTGACCTGACCTCCACCAGAAAGTGACCTAAACCGTACCTGATGGTCTTATAACCAACACCATTGGGTTGGAAATGAAAAACTGGCCATAAAACATGCATCGCACAACCTTAGTAAAGTTGGGTTCATGGGGTGACCCTTGGTGACCTTTGGTGACCTGACCTGTGACCTGACCTGGTATGACCAGTGACCTCTAATAGCAACATATGTACTAGACAACTGACGTCTTATCGCTGATTTTCGACAAAATGCGTTTTACTCGGTGTTATAGCGCTTTCCCTAGAAGCCCCGTGAACGGTGAAACATTTTATCTTTGACCTGACCTGTGACGTCATCGGTGACCCCGAGGTCAATGAAATGTGGTTTCCTTCGACAAATTTGACAGGGCTATCGAACGCCGTTTGAATTTTGCGGATCCGTCCAGTAGTTTCGGAGATACGAGGGGGGGCAAAAAATAGCCCCCCCCCCCCCACCAAGTCGCGTTATAAACAGACCCCACCAGGGCGCGGGTTAATGTTCTAACCTTACAGGTGGTTGTTTGAACGCGGAAGATGCTGAATCTTGGTTAACCCCATACTTATCGTATGATAAAGAACGTCAGTGTTAGAAAGTTAATCAACAATTTTATTTAGGATAGTTTAATTCAAGTGGGTATAATCCGACTTGACAATTTACTAGGAGGGTTTTGCAGCGCTATTAGTTCGGCATTTAATTATAAATCATTGCTAATTTCGATCCGGATATCGTTATTCAATGCTGGCCTTTGCGTCCTCAGAAAAGTTGTTTATAGTCATGAAGGCTTGCATTGACCCATACTTTCCATTTTTCAGCACCATTATTCGCCGTAGTTGACCAGATGTTTTTCTTCAGCTCTGCCCTGAATCCTTTGGCTTAGACCTGGCGTATCACCCGTGCATCGCAAGACGCACCTACCACACACAAGTTCATGATCCCCACGAACCCACATCAGCGTCCGTTCGCTTGGTGTGTGACCCCTTGACCTTTGGCCGCGACAACTGCCAGCTTGCCGGAGCACCCCTCCCTACACGCGCTGCCCCGTCCGCTCCCCTCCCTCCCCCCCCCCCGGGGTCGTGTCACGAAGGTTCGGGCTTACGCTACTACCGGCCGCTGCGCAGCTGTCACCTTATAGCGCTTGGGAATGTGTGGTCTGGTGCGGATTCAGCCAACTACCGGCTCGCGACACCAGCGCCACGTAGTGGCGACGGTACATTCTTTTTAGACACACTGTACGAGCTAGTAGTTTACGGCCTTAGAGTGTAGCAGCCTTAGATTGGGACCGACGCGCGGCGCAACCGATGTAGTTTACAGCCTTAGCTTTAGCGTTCGTTTATTGCTGTACGATACGGACGGAGACGCTGCTTGCGAGCAGCTGTTTGTTGTTTCGTTAATGTTTTCTCTCTTACGTTTAGAATTTCCGCGAGCGACGCGAAAATTCGGGCCGGCCATGTTCGAGAGAAAACGTACCGTGCCGCACAGCGACGGCAGCGCGCGGCGGGCACGGCCGAGCCCCGCCGTCCACGTGGTCCTCTACAGGGCCTGGGGGGTCATCTGGAGCACATATGTGTGCTGACCGGCCCCAACGCGCCGGGCCGGCCGCCGCCGGCCGGCTCGGCAGTTCGCGACACGACGACGACGGCGACGCGGCTCCGCCGGCGCAACGGCGCCGGCGTCGTACGATTCGATTGACGTGCAGTGTGTGACGAGTAATCCAGAAATAGACATTCATCAAAGAACTCTTTTGGTCCTCCGGTTAATGAAAGGATACGATCAGCTACGCAATTCTTAGTGAACTGGACGATTACATGAACACTTTGGTCTGCCGTGCTGGGTCAGAGTAAACGACCACGAATCACACGAACAATATCGAAAAAGGGTCCCCTCATACCGTAACTGTGCACTCTCAGGTCTGAAATGGTGCCTCTTATGCCTGAAATGGGACCCTCTCAGGCCTCAAACGGGCCCTCTAGGGCATGAAATGGGCCGTCTCAAGCTTGAAATGGGCCCCCTCAGGCCTGAAATGGGCCCCTCTCAGGCGTGAAATGGGCCCTCTCAAACATGCCTTCTAGGGCCTGAAATGGACCCCTTCAGGCATGCAATAGGCCCTAACAGGCATCAAATGGGCCCCTCTCAGGCCTCAGGCAGGCCCTCTAGGGCCTGAAATGGGCCCTCTCAAGCTTCAACTGGGCCCTTTCAGGCCTGAAATGGGCCCTCACAGACCTGAAATGGGCCAACTCAGGCCTGAAATGACCCTCTCATGCCATGGAACGGTCCATCCTATGTAGGCCTTGGATTAGCTCAATCGGGCCTTGGATGCACCCTCTTGAATCATATAATGGGACTATAAATCCTAAAGGGGGCTATCAGGCCTGAAAACTGTTTTTTTCGTCCTATGACGGACCTTGACATTATGATAAAAAACTTGTCAGGCTGCATAACGTTACAGTTCGAATCGACGGTGGGCCCCTAGGATAAGAGACGGGGGTGAGATCTCACCCCTTTCACCCCCCCCCCCCTCCCCCTGGCTGCGCCACTGCCTACCCATCGGGCGATCACATGGCTCTGCACTAGCAGCCAGTGCTGAGCCATGGGAGCCCGATGGGTAGGGAGTGGTGGAACATCAATCTGCCCCCCGAGTGTACGGGGGTAGCTTGCAGGCCCCAACAGAAAAAACTCGCTGCAAAAACTGACCACTTCAGAAAACCCGCAAACCCACGCAAATAGAATAGTAATATAAATTAAGGGAACCCTATGTAAACACGCCTAATGTTGGTAGCGGCGCCCACCTGTGAATCGCCAATGTTTGATTTGGCCAGTTGCGGTCGATACGCACCAGTACATGTTATTGCAGCAGATGAGCGAGCGGCCCCAGCGGAACGTGCTGGCATTGTAGCGTAGCGGCTGCGCCAGCAGGTAGCTGACGATGAAGATGGCGTCCAGCAGGTTCCAGAGGCGACTGAACCAGTGCGCCAGCTTCATCCTGCCGCCCAAAGGTCAGCACGGTCAGCGGCCGGATCAGTGCAGCCAACCGGCACTCAGTGACTGGTACCGCAGTGACTGGCACTCACTACAGTCAACAGTACAAGAACATAAGGTTGGACAAATTAATACGTCACTGGTGCCTGGAATATGTTTTTCTAGTATCCCATTACACAGGACTAGTTAAACTAAATTTGAGGGGAGGGCACTTAATTCCCCAGTATCTGATTTTATGAAAATAATTGTTGGAAATGTAAAATAAGGCATCATGCACTTGTTTTCAATTGGGAACAGACTAGTGATGTCAGTTACGGAAAATCGAAATACCGATACCAAACCAAATACCAATCAAAACCGTGGAGAAATACCGAGACCAAACCAACTTGGGAACATGAGGAAAATACTAACTTTTTACCGATTTCTTACCTCTTTTGGCGAGGGTCCATGATACCAACAAAATACCAAACACATTAGGATTGAAATACCAAATACCGAGTTGGTATCGGTTTGGTATCGGTATACCAACAAGTTGGTATCCGAGTGACATCTCTAGGACAGACTATATGACAAGGAAAAACTGTTTACGATTCTGCTAAATCAGATAATTTATGTAGTATAAATTCATGGATTCACAGTCTGCATCGCCGTGGCCAGAGGTAACGCTGCCTCTGTGCTGACCACAGCCAGGCCAGCAGTGGCCACCAGACCGGGACCGTCACCGCCGCCATCGTCCGGAGTGACCCCGAACAGGATCGCTCCGTCACTCAAGGCACCGGAAGAAGAGCCAGTTGCGGGGCCGCCACTCGACTCTGGCTGATCCGCCGACACACCCACCACCACCGACCCCTGCGGACGGCTGTCGTGCGGAGAGACGCGTGACACGCTCTCAGTCCTCCTCTCTGTGGCACAGAAGGCCACGGTGGCGGTTCTTCCACTGAGGAACTTGAGGCAGTGCCTCACCATCTTTTGGGTAAAAAAAGCTTTTATTGGATTGCTTCCTTTATTTCATTCATGGCTATTGGCTAAGGCCATGTAGCTTCCATGCCTCGGCATAGCAATGTTGCCACCTTGGGTGTTTACCATGCTACATAATAGTTGCCAGGTTGGTGGTCTAATGCTTTTGTATGGGAGAATCAAGTGAGGCACAGCCTCACCGAAAATAGCCAAGATCGATTTATTATGATTTTTAATATGAAACTATGGGTAGATTTTAGTTTATTTAAAGAGACCCTCCCACCTTCAAAAAAGTTAATGAATTGGCATAAAAGTGATGTCCTTTGGTTCGGAAAGATCAAAAATGAATATCTACCAAATTTCACCGAAAAATATTCGCGAAAAACCGCAGGGGGTGTTCAAACACCCCCCCCCCCCCGGCCCAGCGCGGGTTAATTCGGAGATATGGAATTTCAAACTTGCAGTTTTCGGATTCTGATGGGCTAATGCATTGGAATACCCCCTTAGAATTTGTGACGTCAGCGGAGATCTAACGATTTTTAAATTTTTTACTAAAACGTTTGGTAGCACACGGTGGTATATGCTGCTTTGCGCGCAACAAATGCCGCACTTTCTAATCGCAGATATCTCAAAAAAGGCCGCGCGGAGCGCCGCCGTTTTTGGCACACCTGTTCGTGCATCTTTTCCGCGCATGTTGTGAAAATTTCAGACCCAGGTCCCCTTAGGTCAGGTCACCTGGTCACGCCAAGTGACCTCACCTCAGAAAAATAAGAATGCTCGTCATAGCTACACCGATTGATCGATTGCCTTGAAACTTTCAGCGATTGATAAGAGCAACATTATCTATAAAATGTTTATCTCGGAAGTTCGATATCGGTGACCTAAGGTCAGGCCAATTTTGCGGCCTCTCCATTGGTCAACGGCAGAAAATTGAAAAAAGCGTCTGTTTTGCACGAACGCCATTCTAGACACTCTCAAACATCGAGATGTAGGTAAAATTGACACGCTGAACCGGAAAATGGCAACTGTGACCCATCGTTATGTCCCCAAGGTCATCTCAGGTCACGAACAGAATCTAACAGTTTTTCGCTAATAACTTCTGATACAGGCATGCTAGAGCGATGAAAACCTTAGATGTGTTTGGTTCGACGTTGTGGATCGACTGATATGCAACATGACCTTTTCCGGTCAGGTCATGACCTTGACCTGAGGTCAAATTTTCAAGTTGACCTTTCAAGGTCAAATTATAGTTCATTCGACGCGTCTCGACGAGAGGAACACGATGCTGGCAAAAATGATGTCATGGCTCTTTTGAGTCAAAAGTTATTGCCGACAAAAACGTTTTTCGTAAAAACGGCTATTTTTGGAGTTTTTGCCCTCTGGAGGCTAAACCGCTGACCTGAGGTCAAATCTGAGAACATTTTCCAGAAAGGTCTGTAAACGGGCTATCGAATGCGTTTTTCCGCGGTGCTGTAGCTCTATCGGTTCCCGAGATAGCCGTCGGCAGTTTCAAAATGTTGAAATAGTCAACATTTTACCTTTGGTGACCTCTGGTGACCTGACTTTTGACCTGACCCAAAAAATGACCGAAGTGTTTTCGTCCTTATTTTGGACGTTTTTTTTCGATTGCCGCTTACCACGTGTCGCTACGTGGCCCAGGAGCCGAGTTAGAAGGGGGTGTTCAGACACCCCCGGTCCGGCGCGGAATCTCAGAGCACCGGCCCGGCGCGGGTTAAAGCACTTTTCGATGTTGTGAGTGCCCAAACCGGTATTTTCAGGCCATGGCCACTAATTTGGCTATCTCAACTCAAAACTAATGTTAAGGTGGGATGGTCACTTAAAATAACCTAATCATGTCGAGCCATGCATCCCTTAAAAAACCTTGAATCAGCTGAAAGTTGGACCAGCTAGCTAGATACAATATATGTCATTTTTGTTGAGCATGACAAGCCGATGCGCCGAGTGCGGTCACCTGATTGAGACCGGCTCGGAGATGCTGATCTCGCGGCACTTTTCGATGCCGGCCGTGACGATGAAGACGGTGACGTAGACCTCCTGCCAGCGCGGCACCGGGTACATCTTGACCAGCACCACGAACGTGTACAGCGTCAGGAACACCACGTAGGCCAGCTGCGGGGAGCGAGCGCAACCGGCCGTCACCACACGCTCCGCTCACAGCTCACAACACAAAAGCCGTCAGCTCAACGCCCATAATGCCGGCGGTGCGACTGCTGTGCTGCGCTGGGCACGCAGTGGGTGAAGGTGTGACACGCTGGGCACGCAGTGGGTGAAGGTGTGACACGCTGGGCACGCAGTGGGTGAAGGTGTGACACGCTGGGCACGCAGTGGGTGAAGGTGTGACACGCTGGGCACGCAGTGGGTGAAGGTGTGACACGCTGGGCACGCAGTGGGTGAAGGTGTGACACGCTGGGCACGCAGTGGGTGAAGGTGTGACACGCTGGGCACGCAGTGGGTGAAGGTGTGACACGCTGGGCACGCAGTGGGTGAAGGTGTGACACGCTGGGCACGCAGTGGGTGAAGGTGTGACCGCGCGTCGCGCGGCGCGCGGCACGCAGTGGGTGAAGGTGTGACCACTGCGCTGGGCACGCAGTGGGTGAAGGTGTGACACGCTGGGCACGCAGTGGGTGAAGGTGTGACACGCTGGGCACGCAGTGGGTGAAGGTGTGACACGCTGGGCACGCACTGGGTGAAAGTGTGACCACTGCGCTGGGCACGCAGTGGGTGAAGGTGTGACCGGGGGTGAAGGTGTGACCGCGCGTCGCGCGGCGCGCGGCCGGCCGTGAGCATCCCCGATAGGGCTCCGGCGCAGAGAGGCCCCGAGCAGCCAGATGACGCCCGAGTGGCAAACGGCTACCCAACGATCTGCCAGAGAATGACATGGGCCTGTTCTAGTGCCTCCAGTCAATAGTATTCACTGGTGGCTCCTCTAGCAAGTTTTTAAGATCGAAAATATCATTCAGTTTTAATAAACTACATATGCGTCAAAATTTATCAATATGTTATTTTCTTTGCATTTGCATGTATCATGATTAACCCTCGCCCTGGCAGGGCATTTTTTCATGACGCGGCCTGGCAGGAGGCGGGGGGGGCATGGCAGGGGGGAGGCGGCGGAAGGCAATTTGGGATGGGGGCACCACTGGCGGATCCAGGGCTTAGGCGCGGGGGGCTAAACCAGGTAAGGAGCCAAACCTTGGGTACCCCCAAATCCTGTGTTCTCATCGGATTTAGGCCCCTTAATCCTCGCCGGACCTATTGGTTTTCTACATACGCGCCGGCCGAGGGGGGCGGGTACGACCCCCCTCGCCGTTTCGCCCCTGGTGGAGCTAGCGCGTCGCGTAAAAAAAAACGAGCGTGTGCGCCGTTACGAGACGCAGAGATTGGTACCCGATTTTAAGGTCCTAGGTCAACCGGTGACCTCTGAGGTCAGGTCAAGTGCCCCAAGGTACGGTTCAGTTTTTGGTAAATAGCTTCGCAAAAAACGGCCGCAGAGCCGCGATTTTGGCAGCATCGTGTTCGCCTCGCTCAGGCGCGTGGAATGATATACTTTTTGTTCGGGTCAGATCAACTTACGGTGTTGACCTCAGGTCAAGGTCAGGTCAGCACCCCCCGGTCACGAAGTTCGTCGAAAGAGGTCATGTTGCATATCATTCGATTCGGCAGGTCTTCCTGAGTCCATTGGTGGCTTTCATGACTCGCTAGCTCAATTTGATCAATAGTTATTGACGAAAAACTAATATGACCTTGATGACGTCATAAATGACGTCACGCAAGGTCAACATTGCAAAAGTGACGCATCTAACCTTGCAAAAAGTGCATCAAATCACGATTCTGTGTGCTTCAGATAGTTGGAGATCGTTCTAGGCGCCAGAATAGCAGTTTCCATTTTTCCCCATTGACTTATAATGGTGAGGTCACGAAAATGACCTGACCTCATATGACCTTTAGGAAAAATCCAAGATATTCCAGTTGTGAGAATCATAATGGATACTAGATCCTGCAAGTTTCATTTTCCTGTGACATCTCCTCTGGCAGTGAGGGCGTTGCGAAGCTGCGACATCTGAAGACCGTGCAGAGGTTCACTTATAAAGTCATAGGTCAGTGACCTGACCTGACCCGAAAATGCGGTTGAAGTCAAAAGATCCGGCTTGAATCAAAGGTCAGATATGCCAAGTTTCAGCTCTCTATCGCCAGCGTGTTCGGAGCTATCGCGAAAAAACCTAGGTGGGGGGGGGCGGCACCCCCTCGGTCGGCGAGGGTTAATTTTCGTCACAGCCCTGATACGATAATTTGTTTTGTGATTTTTTTTAATGGTAGGCCATCTGACTCCACTGGCGGATCCAGGAGAGGGGGCATTTGGGGAAAATACCCCCGCGTCACCCGAAATCTAGGTTATTTTGCGGCTTTTCGAGAACATAACGAAAGCCCATTTCTTATTCGGAAAATATGAACATATATTCGGAAATACATTGTAAAACCCTCAGAGGTACCGGTAAAGGACCCTCAGAGTCACCGGCGCGGTGTCTGGCTGTGAGAGGCGCCGGTGTGGGGCCCCAGAGGCGCCGCTGTGGCACCCTCAGAGTCGGGGCCTTAAGAGGCACTGGTGTGGGGCTCTCAGAGGTAGCGGCGTAGGGCCCTCAAAGGTGCTTGTGTGGGACCCTGACAGTCGTCGGTAAGGTTTTTTTACAAGCGCTGTTGTGGGAGGCCTCAGAGACACAGGCATGGGGCTTGGGGCCCATTATAAGCGTATGCAGGGCCATTAGAGTTGCTGGTGCAAACTCTTCATCGGACAGCAGAAGTGGATCCTCGAGAGACCGGCAAGATCTTCAGGAGCCCTGTGGGGTGCTTAGAGACCGGCGAGGTACTCTCGGTGGCGCCGCTAGGGGCCCTCAAAGTCACTGGTGTTGGGCCTTGGAGTTGGAGGTAGGTGACCGGCGCGTCGGTTGCGCTTGTGTAGGACCCTCGGTGGCGCCTGTGTGGGGCCCTCAGAGCCACCAATGTAGGGCCTAAACGCGGCAGGCGGTGGAAATCCCGGACGTTCAGTACAGGATATGCCGGATAGTCAGGACAGTCAGGATGTTCCGTATCGATTTAAAGTTCAGAGCTACGAACTTTTTTTTGCAGAATCTGCGAGATTGCGTGATATGAGACAGTTGTTGGCGCACTTGGTGGTGCACCGTATGAATCCAAGTGACGTAATTAATAATTGTTTCTTTAATTTTCATGTGTTTTTGATGTTTTATTAACAAAATAAGCTTATTATTAATAGAATAGTATAGAAAATAGCAAACTCAAGCGTTTGTTGCGAAACCATTTATTAGTTGTTATTATTACGACAGCATAAAATAATTCACGGAAATTCTGGAAAATCGCAGAAACCGATGTCAAGGGAGTCTCGCAATCACGGATCTGCAGATCACGCACGTAACTTCCTGGACGGTCACGCATAGTGTAGCTCAGCTTTTACGCGTACGGCAGAACTGTTTCCCTGCGCGACAGGGTGGGGGCTCTAAAGCCGAATGTACCAGGCGTTTGGCGAGGGTGTTGCCATTTTTCCACGATGCTGTTAAGCTGGGATTAACAGATTTCAGGGCCGCATCTACTTTCCGGGTCAGGCAGAGGCTGTCACTGATGAAAGGCAGTGACAAATATATCCTATCCCTACGTTGGGGATGGGCTCCTGTGTGACTACGATCACTTGTGCGGTCAGCTGTCAGATACTTTTGTCTGTTGTATTGTTTCAGAGCCTGACGCGCTATCCCATGCAGCCAGCGTGGAGGGTAGCCGTTAGAGTTCTGCACGGCTGCAATTTTCCACAGCCTAGCCGCTCCGCAGCCGTGGCTCCACAGCCACAGCCGCCCACAGCCGTGGCAAACTGTGGGCAGCCAGCCGTCAGCCGGCCGTGGATACTTTCAGTGAAATGCAACCAAATAGTATATAAAAAGTTGTTTTTAGTTAAAACATATAGCCAAAAGCACATTGCAATGGGCTATAGATTCTCAAGCTCATGAAGCATCATAGGTTAAGTGGTTGTGTATCGGCCTGAAGCCTTTCGGCCTGATTCCTGATGCGCAAGGCATGCCTACACAAGCCCTTGCAAGGGGTTAACCCTAGAACGCCTAGGGGGGGGGGGTTGTATCACCCCCCCCCTGAGGTTTTTTCGAAGTGCACGCTAACCGGCTTGTCGTAGCGGGCTGAAATTTTCAATACCCTCTGGGGCAACCTTTGCGCATCTTTTGCCGAAAAAAATTGATCGGGTCATGTCAGGTCACGGAGTTATGACGTCATAAGAGGTACAGCCTCCGGCCGGATTTTCACAAACTGAGTGCCAACGCCCGAGGTTTCCTGCCGGTGGTACGGACATCGGTTGATGGATCGTGATGAAACTTCCCATGCATGTTGGGGCAAGTATTGGCTATCATATGGTATAAGAAATTTGACCGGGTCAGGTCAGTTCACGGAGCTATGACGTCACAAGAGGAACAGCGTCCGGTACTATTTTTGAAAAGCGCCCGAACCACTATTTTGCTAATTCTTGTCACCTCAATGGGAATATGCAGCAATATTAGCTTCTATAGGGAGCAAATGGACCTCCCAAATCCAAAAATACAATCAGATTTCAAAAATTTAAATTTTGATTTTTCGAATTTCTGCCGCCGACTGTGACCTTGCCGACTTCCGGCGCTCCCAACGCGCCATTTTTAGAGCTAGGGAAACGAAATACATACCAAACGATAGAGAATTGATCAAGGAACACGATAGTGAAGGTTTCAAGTCGATATCTCCCACCGTTTTGCCGCAATCGCCGCCGAAAGTTGAAAAAAGTCTATTTTTCCGAAAATTTGACCTTTGACCGGTCAAAAGTAGGTCAAATGTTGACCTAGGACCAAAAAATATACCATCAATCGCGAGATCTCGTTGAGAGCAATCCGCTGGTTTTTTTCCGCTAAGCTCTACGACCTTCCGTTTCGAAACGCCAGGGGGGGGGTCGTATCAACCCCCCCCCCTGGTCGTTCGTGTTATGAGAAATGGCCTGGTCGTGCGAGGGTTAAGAAAGATGGGTACCTAGGTATCAGGTAGGTACCCACATCAACAGAAAACATAAACAATGA